TGGTGTGAGTCCTTGGAGACTGTGTGCTTTGGACCCAGCTCCCTGCTAATGTGCCTGGGAGGCAACATATGATGACCAGGTGCTTTGGTTCCTGCCACCTGTGTAGGAGACCTAGGTGGAGTTCTGGGCTCTTTTTTTTTTTTTTTTTTTTTTTTTTGACAGAGTGGACAGTGAGAGAGAGAGAGAGAGAAAGGTCTTCCTTTGCCATTGGTTCACCCTCCAATGGCTGCCGCGGCCGGCGCACTGCGCTGATCCAAAGCCAGGAGCCAGGTGCTTCTCCTGGTCTCCCATGGGGTGCAGGGCCCACGTACTTGGGCCATCCTCCACTGCACTCCCGGGCCATAGCAGAGAGCTGGCCTGGAAGAGGAGCAACCAGGACAGAATCTGGCGCCCCGACTGGGACTAGAACCCGGTGTGCCAGCGCCGCTAGGCGGAGGATTAGCCTGTTGAGCTGCGGCACCGGCTCCGTGTTCTGGGCTCTTGGCTTTGACCTGGCTCAGCCCTGTGTGTTGTAGATATTTGAGGCGTAAACCAGTAGAAGAAATCTCTCTCTCTGTTTCTCCTCTTTCTGTCACTCTGTCTTTCAAATAAATAAATCTTTAAAAAGAACTTAAAATGCTCTTTCTGTATCTGTTGAGATATTCATGTGATTTCCCTTCTTTAGTCTGTTTGGTATGATGGATTATATTAATTGATTTTTAAATATTGAACAAATCTTGTATACCTGGTATAAATTAGGTCATGGTATGCAGTTCTTTTTATATGTCATTCAGTCGATTTGATCAGCTGATACTTTGTTGAAGATTTTTACATTTATGTTCATGAAAGATATTGGTCTAGTTTTGTTGTGCAAGGATACTGCAAAAATGTTCATTAGATGAAATTAAAGATGGTTTATTTTGGGGGATGTGTTTGGTCTAGAGGTTGACCCCTGTTAGGATGGCAATGTCCCATATAAAGTGCCTCAACTTGATCCCTGGCTCCAACTATAGATTCCAGCTTCCTGCTAACGTGGTCCCCAGGAGGCACTGGTGATAGTGCAACTAGTTGGGTTCCTGCCATGCGTGTCAGAGACTTGGTTTGAATTACTGGCCCAGCCCTGGCCATTACAGACATTTGGAAAGTGAACCAGCAGATGGAAGGTCTCTTTCATATCTGTCTGCCTGCCTCTCAAATAAAATTTAAAAATAAATAAGGGGCCAGTGTTGTGGCACAGCAAATTAAGCTGCTACCTGCAACACCAGCATCCCATATGAGCACTTGTTTGAGTTCTGGCTGCTCCACTTCTGATCCAGCTCCCTGCCAATGTGCCTGGGGAAGCAGGGGATGATGACTCAAATGCTTGGCCTCTGCACCCATGTGGGAGACTGGTTGGGATTCCAGGCTCCTGGGTTGGGCCTTGCTCAGCCCAGTTATTGTGATCATTTGGGAGTGAAAACCTCTTTCTGTCTCTCCCTCTCTCTGTAACTCTGCTTTCAAATACATAAATAAATATAAAAAAAACATAAAAAATAAAAGTGATTACTTACATCTCCGCTTTAAAGAAAAAAAGTAGTTTATTTTGGTGCAAATATTTTGAAACCCATACATAGTTGTTTCATAATATGAATCTTCATGGACTTTTTGTAGGCTCCCTGTATACATGGATTTCACAAATTTTTTGTACCAAAATAGTTCATCGTTTAATTTAATTTTCCTTGAACTTTTAGAAGTATCTTCATGATATCTTTTTCTTTTAGTATTAGGATAATGCCATTCTCATTGAATGAGTCAGGAAGTGTTCTTCCTGCTCTGTCTTCTGGAAGAGATTTTAGAGAGTAGGTTATACTTTACAAAATGCTTAGTAAAATTCATCATTGACTACATCAGGGCTTGATGCTTTCTGGTTTGGAGGGTTGTTAATTACTGATTTAGTTTCTTTAACAGATACAGGGCTGTTCATATTGTGTATTTCTTCTTGTGGAGCTTTGCAGATTCTGTCTTTCAAGGAGTTGGTCCATTTCATCTAGGCTGTCAAATTTGTAGACAGAGTGTTTTTCGTAGTATCCCTCTCTTATCCTTTTACTTGCCCATGGGATCTCTGGGGATATCCCCTCTTTCATTTCTGATATTAGTAATTTGTATTTTTTAAGATTTTATTTATTTATTTGAGAGGTAGAGTTACAGACAGAGAATGGAAGATACAGAAAGAAAGGTCTTCTATGCGCTGCTTCACTCCCCAGATGGCTGCAATGGCCGGAGCTGAATCCATCCGAAGCCAGGAGCCTCCTTGGGGTCTCCCACGTGGGCGCAGGGGCCCAAGCATTTGGGTCATCTTCCACTGCTTTCCCAGGCCATAGCAGAGAGCTGGATTAGAAGAGGAGCAGCTGGAACTTGAACTGGCACCCGTATGGGATTCTGGTGCTGCAGGTGAAGGCTTAGCCCACTAAGCCACAGTGCTGGCCCTATGTCTTTTTTTTTTCTCCTTAGTTAACTGCTTAGAGGTTTATAAGGTTTATTGATCTTTCCAAAGAACCAGCTTTTGGTTCCATTGATTTTTCTCTGTTGATTTCTTGCTTTCAGTTTCATTGCTTTCTGCTCTGCTTTTTAAAATTTATTTTTATTCACTTTGTTTTTATTTTTATTTTATTTTATTTCTTTGGACAGGCAGAGTGGACAGTGAGAGAGACAGAGAGAAAGGTCTTCCTTTTTCTGTTGGTTCACCCTACAGTGGCCACTGTGGCTGGTGCACTGCACTGATCCGAAGCCAGGAGCCAGGTGCTTCTCCTTGTCTCCCATGCGGGTGCAGGGCTCAAGCACTTGGGCCATCCTCCACTGCACTCCTGGGCCACAGCAGAGAGCTGGACTGGAAGAGGAGCAACCGGGACAGAATCTGGTGCCCCGACTGGGACTAGAAGCTGGGGTGCCGGCGCCGCAGATGGAGGATTAGCCTAGTGAGCCGCGGCGCCAGCCATATTCACTTTGAATCTAACTTGCTCTTTGTTTTCTAGTTCCCTAATTTGGAAAATTATTGGGATTTATTTTTATACTTTCTTTTCTGTTATATACATTCAGAGCCAAAATTTTCCTCCATGTTCTGTTTTTGCTGAAATTACACAGGTGCTATTAAGTTGTGTTTTCTTTCAATTCCAAATATTTCTCATAAGGTTTCTTGACTTATGTTATTTGAAATGTGTTGTTTAATCTCCAAGAATTTTGGGATTTTTCCAGCTATATTTCTGTTACTGAACTCTAGACACAATTTCATTGAGGTCTGATAGCAGACATCATGTGATTGAGATTCTTTTAAATTTGTTAGGATTTGTTTAATGGCCTGGTTGTTGGATGAAGCAGTCAGTAAGTGTCAATTTGGCCCAGTTGGTAGATGGCGCTGTTGAGTTCAACCATGTCCTTACTGATTTTCTGCCTGCTAAATCTGTTTCTAGTGTAGGGGTGTTGAAATCTCCAGCTATCATGTTTTTTACAGTTCTATTAGTTTTTGCCTCAAGTTTTTTTTTAATGTTTATTTATTTTTATCCACTTGAAAGGCGGAATAACACACATGTACACATACACAGAGAAGTCCTCTACCCACTCAGTCCCCAAATACCCATAACATCCAGGGCTGGGTCAGGCCAAAGCCAGGAGCTCAGAACTGGACCTGGGACACTCCTGTGGGTAACAGGGACTCAAATACCTGGGCCATCATCTGCTGTTTCCCAGGTACATTAGCAGGAAACTGGATTGGAAGCATGGACTTGCTGGGACTCAAACCAGGCAACATGATGTAGGATATAGGTGTCCCCAGGCAGCAGCCTAACTGGCTGCACTACAGTGCCCACTCTTTATTTGGTATTTTTAAAACACTGAAAAAGTGATTATTGACCTATTAATCTGTTATATTCATATTTGCTACTGTTTTCTATTTTTTTTAAAGATTTATTTGAAAGTCAGAGTTACACAGAGAGAGGAGAGGCAGAGAGAGAGAGAGAGAGAGAGAGAGAGAGGTCTTTCATCCAATGATTCACTCCCCAGTTGGCCACAACGGCTAGAGTTGCGCTGATCTAAAGCCAGGAGCCAGGAGCTTCTTCTGGTTCTCCCATGTGGGTGCAGGGGCCCAAGGATTTGGGCCATCTTTTACTGCTTTCCCAGGCCATAGCAGAGAGCTGGATCAGAAGTGGAGCATCCGGGTCTCGAACTGGTGCCCATTTGGGTTGCTGGCGCTTTGGGCCAGGGCTTTAACCCGCTGTGCCACAGCGCCGGCCCCTGTTTTCTATTCTTTATCCTTGTTTTTTGTTTCTATTTTAGTCTTCCACTCTTTTTTTTTTTTTTAAGATTTTATTTATTTATTTTGAGAGGTAGAGTTAGAGAGAGAGAAAGAGAGATCTTCCATCCACTGGTTCACTCCCCAAATGGCTACAATGGCCAGAGCTGGACCAATCTGAAGCCAGGAGCCAGGAGCTTCTTCCAGGAATCCCACGCAGGTGCAGGGGCCCAAGCACCTGGGCCATCTTCTACTGCTCTCCCAGGCCATAACAGAAAGCTGGATCAGAAGTGGAGCAGCTGGGACTCGAACCAGCGCTGACATGAGATGCCAGTGCCTCGGGGCTGGGGCTTTAACCCGCTGCACCACAGCACCGGCCCTCTCAAAGATCTCGATAAAGACAGGATGCCCACTTTCACCACACTTATGGTACTGGAAGTCTTAGCCAGAGCCATTAGGCAAGAGAAAGAAATAAAGGGCAACCAAAATGAAAGCAAGAAGTCAAATTGTCACCTTTAGCAGATGGCATGTTCTTATGTATAGAAAACCACAAGATTCCACCCAGAAACCATTAGAACTAAAAAATGATTTCAGCAGAGTTATAGGAGACAAAGTCAGTGAGAAAAAAATCAGTTTGTCTTTACACACCAATAGCAAATTATATGAGAAAGAAACCAAGAAAGCAATCCTGTTTCCAACAGCTACCAAAAAAAAAAAAAAATCCTCAAATATGTAGGACAAATTTTAAAGCACAGTGAGTGCTCACTTCAGCACTGAATATAAAAAGTAGAATACAAAGAAGATTAGCATGGTCCTTAAGCAAATATAAAACGCAAATTCTTGAAATGCTCCATAGTTTTTAAACATATTGCAGACTCTAGAGCAACCACTACAAAAAGGAAAAAAAAATGCATAACTGAAATGCTAAGAAAGAAGAGAAGGAGCGACATTGTGATATAGTGGGTTAAGTTGCTGTTTGCATCTCATATCGGAATGCCCATTCGAGTCTCGGCTGCTCCACGTCAGATCCACCTTCCTGTTAATGTTTCTGGGAAAACAGCAAATGATGGCCCAAGTGCTTGGGCCCTTGCCACCCACAGGGGAAATCCAGATCGAGTTTGAGCCTCCTGACTTCCATATGGCCCAACCCTGGCCATTGCAGCCATTTGGGCAGATGGAAGAGCTCTCTCTGTCGTTCTCCTCTATTTCTCCCTCTTCGTCTCTCTGTAATTGTGCCTTCCAAATAAATAATTTTGAAAGAAGAGAGAATGGAATCATATAAAATGCTCAATTTTAAACTATAAAAGGGAGGAAAAGAGTGGAAGACGGGTGGGCGCTGTGGTATAGTGGGCCGTTGGTTTGTTACATATGGCCTTTATTATGTTGTGGAATGTTCCTTCTGTTCCTAGTTTGTTCAGAGTCTTTATCATGAAAGGGTGTTGGAAGCTGGCGCCGCGGCTCACTAGGCTAATCCTCCGCCTCACGGCGCCGGCACACCGGGTTCTAGTCCCGGTCGGGGCGCCAGATTCTGTCCCGGTTGCCCCTCTTCCAGGCCAGCTCTCTGCTGTGGCCAGGGAGTGCAGTGGAGGATGGCCCAGGTGCTTGGGCCCTGCACCCCATGGGAGACCAGGAAAAGCACCTGGCTCCTGGCTCCTGCCATCAGATCAGTGCGGTGCGCCGGCCGCGGCGGCCATTGGAGGGTGAACCAACAGCAAAGGAAGACCTTTCTCTCTGTCTCTCTCTCTCACTGTCCACTCTGCCTGTCAAAATAAATAAATAAATAAATAAATAAATAAAAAAAAGAAAGGGTGTTGGATTTTATTGCATGCCTTTTTTTTTTTTTTGGCAGGCAGAGTGGACAGTGAAAGAGAGAGAGAGAGAGAGAGAGAAAGGTCTTCCTTTACTGTTGGTTCACCCCCCAATGGCCGCTGTGGCCGGCGCACCGCGCTGATCCGAAGCCAGGAGCCAGGTGCTTCTCCTGGTCTCCCATCACTTGCCTTTTCTACATCTGTGGAGATGGCTGCATGATTTTGTCCTTCACTTTTATTGATTTGCCTATGTTGAACCATTCTCGCATCCCTGGGATGATTCCCACCTGATTAAAGCGAATAATCTTTATAATGTGCTGTTGGATCTGGTTTGCCAGTGTTTTGTTGAGGAGTTTTGCATCTCTGTTCATCAAGGATATTGGCCAGCTAGCTTGCTTCCTGCCTTCCTTCCCCTTGTCTTGTCTTGGTATCAGGGGAGTGCTGGCCTTGTAGAATGAGTTTGGGAGAATTCTCTCCTCTTCTGATTTTTGGAATAATTTAGGAAAAATTAATATTATTTATTTAAATGTTTGATAAAATTCTGCCTTGAAGCCATCTGGCTCCTTGATGAGAGACTTCTTTTAAAAAATTATTTAGACTTATTACTTATACTTATTGATCTGTTTAGGTATTTCATTTCTTCTTGATTCAGTCTTGGTAAGTTATATGTATTTAGGAATTTGTCCATTTATTTTAAGTTATCAAATTTGTTGGTGTTTAGTTGTTCTTAATAATCTCTAAAAATCTTTTGTGTTTATTGTATCAGTTGTAATCGCTCCCTTTTCATCTCTGATTTTTTTGAATCTTCTCTATTTTTCTTTTTTTAAAGATTTATTTATTTATTTATTTATTTGAAAGACAGAGGTACAGAGAGAGCAGGAGAGAGAGAGAGAGAGAGAGAGAGAGAGAGAGAGAGAGAGATCTTCCATCTGCTGGTTGACTCCCCTAATAAATACCTGGCTGGGGCTGTGCCAGGCTGAAGCCAGGAGCCCAGAACATCTTCCGGGTCTCCTACATGGGTCCAAGGGCCCAAGCACTTGGGCCATCTTCTGCTGCTTTCCCAGGTGCATTAGCAGGAAATCTCAACTGGTGCTCGTACGGGTTGCTGGTGCCACAGGTTGTGGCTTAACCTGCTGTGCCACAGCGCTGGCCTCTTCTGTCTACTAATTTTGAGCTTGCTTTGTTCTTGTTTTTCCTAGTACCTTGAGATACAGTGATAGGTTGTTTCTTTGAGATATTTCTGCTTTTTTGATGTAAGCATTAATTACTTTAAACTTTCCTCTTTGTACTGCTTTTGCTGTATGCCATAGGTTTTGGTATGCTGTTTCCATTTGTATCTGTTTCAAGAAAATTTAAAATTTTTTTCAAGATTTATTTATTTATTTATTTGAAAATAAAAGTTAGAAAGAGAGGTCTTCCATCCACTGGTTCACTCCCAAGATGACTACGATGGTCAGTACTGAACCAGGCTGAAACCAGGAACCAGGAGCTTCTTCAAGGTCTCCCTCATGGGTGGCAGGGGCCCAAGTACTTGGTTGTCTTTCACTGCTTTTCCCAGGCTGTTAGCAAGGAGCTGAATCAGAAAAAGAACAGATGGGACATGAACCAGTGCCCCTGTGAGATACTGGCGTTGCAGGTGATGGCTTTACCTGCTGTGCCACAGTGCCAGCCCTGAAAATTTTAAATGTTAAAATATATGTTTGTTATTTAAGAAGGAGAGAGAGAGAGAGAGACAGACAGACAGACTATGCTGCCATGTGCTTGTCCACTCCCTACTGCCTGCAATAGCTGGTGCTAGGCTCCATTGAAGCTGGGAGCAAGGAACTTAATCTGGATCTCTCCCAGGGGTTGCAAGGACACAACTACTTGAGCTGTCACCTGCTGCTTTCCATGGTGCACATTAGCTGGAAGCTGGAATCAGGAGCAGAGGTGGGACTTGAACCCAGACATTCTGATATAGAACCAGGTTTCCCAGTCATTGGCATTAACTGCTAGGCCAAATGCCTGTCCCCACATTTTACGTTTCTTCCTTGATCCATTGGTTGTTCAAGAGTTAATTGTTTAATTGCCCTGTATTTATATCATCTCCTAAATTTTTCCTGCTGATTTCTAGTTTTATTGCATTGTGATCAGAAAAGATGCTCAACGTAATTCCTTTTTTTAGAACTCGCTGAGACTAGTTTTGTGACCTAGTATGTGATGTGTCATGGAGAATGTTCCATGTGTTGTTAAGAAGAATGTGTATTCTGTAGATGTTGGCCGGAACATTCTGTAGATCTCTCTCAAGTCTGATTCATCTAGGGTACATTTTAACTGTGCCGTTTCTTTGTTGGTGTCTGGTCTGGACATATGCCCGTTGTTGAAAGTGAGGTGTTAAAGTCCCATGTTAGTGTATTAGAGTCTGTCTGCCCCTTTAGCTTTAGCTCTATTTGCTTTTGATGTTTGGACACTCTAATATTTGGTGCATGTATATTTTAATTGTTATTTCCTCTTTCTAAATTAGCTTTTTATCATTATATAAAGCCTTTCCTTGTCCCTTTTTTACTGCTTTTGGCTTAAAATGTATTTTATTTGATAGAAGAATAGCTGTTCCTGTACGTTCTTCCATCACTTCCCTTTCAGTGTGTGTGTGACCTTAGATGTGAGGTGTTTCCTGTCAGCAGCATGTAGGTTGGCCTTGTTGTTAACCCAATCAGTCCTTTTAATCAGAGACTTTAATATATTTTCAGTTAAGGTAATTACTGAAAGATAAGGTCTTAGTCCTGCCAGTGGGATAATTATTTTCTAGTTTTATAATTCCTCCCTCCCTTCCTCTCTTACTCCCATCCTTCCTTGCAGCTTTCTTTTGTAGTTAAGTGATTTTTTTTTCTAGTAATGTGTTTTCATTCCTCATTTTTTTAAAGTGGATTATAGATTTTTGCTTTGTGGTTACCATGAGGGTTTCAGAAAACATCTACTTTGAGATGATAGCAACTTAACATTGATTATGAATATAGGGAAAAACAAAAAAAAATAAAAGATTAGTAATGAACTCTGCACTTGTACATTTCATATCCCCATATTTTAAAATTTTGGTCTCTCTTTTTATATCTTTTTATATTGCCTGTCAAAATATCAATGTAGTTTCAAAAATTATTTATTCTTATATTCTTAAATACTACTTAAATATTCTTAAATAGCAGTTTATGTACTATACTTAAAATATTAGCACATTTTGAATTTGTATAATTATTCTTACTGTTGAGTTTTTTGCCTTCTGATATTTTCTTCTTGTTAGTGTCTTTTTCAGTTTGAAGAACTCCCTTTGTCATTTCCTATAAGACAGAGCTGATGGTGATAAGTCTGGCTTTTGCCTGTCAGAGAATGTCTTTATCTGTCCCTCATGTCTAAAGGATAGCTTTGCTGGGCATTGTTCTTGGCTGGCAGTTTTTCCCTTCAGTACCCTGGAAGTCCCACCCCACTCTGCCTGGAAGTGTGCAGTCAGGCAAACGGGGATACCTTTATGTGTTATTTATTTATTTATTTTCCTTGTCCTTCACCCTGGAAAGCTTGATTATAATGTGATTTAGGGTAGACTTGGTTGATTTGAATCTGACTGTGACCTCTGACCTTCCTATGCCTGGATAGTTTTATCTTTCTCTTGGTTTGGGAGGTTTTCTGTTGTCTCTTTGAATATGCTTTGTAATGTGAATTACAGTGATATCAGCGCTTTTAACTCTGTTTCAAAGTCTCCATAAACTTTCTCTGCTCTTTGTAATTTTTTTTGCCTTTGCATATTTTAAAGTAGCCTGTCTCTGAACTCACCGTTTCTTTCTTGTTTGACCTATTCTGCACTTTTTAAAAATTACTTCCATCTTTTTTGAGTCTTTGTGTTAGAATATTAAATTGTTTCTCTGTGTTCTCTCGAGCTCTCTTAAAACAGCTAGTTTGAACTCTGCACCTGAGAATTCGCAGGTGTCAGTAGCTCTCTGGTTTGTTTCTGGAGGGATCGAAAGGGAGATGCCCCTTGATTCTGGGGGGCACTTGGATCAGCTGCACCTGGGAGGATTAGG